CTTTGATCCCCCCCATAACAAAACCTCCTTGCAAGTACTTTGCTTGAAATAGTCATCATTTCCTATTTGTTTCAAAATATCTGCAAGACAATGTCTAGATCATCAGTTTATGGGTACACTCTGATGGGAACAGAGAAAAGGCTTTATTGAGCAGGGAGGGAAGAGGCCATACACTATTTCTTTCTGTAATTTTTGGCTCCCTGGCCCATGATAAACTGGGCTGGTGGCTAGATCCTGTACCTTTCAGGACAGGTTCATAGCTGGACAAAGCTGGAATTACCTCCAAAAATTATGTATCTTAGTCACATGCTTCATCCCAACTGAGCTTCTAATGTGCCTCTCTGTCAAGAGGCTATAAAAATTAAAGTTCTTCAATGCAGCCCTGGACATTTCTGCTGGGTAACTTAAAAAGTTTGTGCCGCCAGTCTCCTCCTGGCATATCAGACAGAAAGAACAGGAGGTACATCACATTGAATCCTCTGCCTCCAAACTCCCCAGCTCCATTTTTGGCCTGACCTGACACCTGTGCTGGGGTGTTGCACCCTGTGAAGAAAGGTAGCAGATTGAGAGGTTGACCTACAGATCCTTTCCAAACTCCAGTAGGGATATTTGATGAATTTCTGAAGAGGGGGACATCTGATACTGAGCTTTGTGGGTCCCTGACACACAGGCAAAGTGCATCTCCAAGGCTAGAACCAAGACTTTCAGTCTCTCATTTCTGTGGGTTGGAAATAAAAAGGCCATTGAAATCAGAAGAAATTCCTTCCTTTTAGAACTCTAAACTAACTGGGATATGTGAAAGAGAAATAATTATTCTCGCACACTGAAATAGATGAAAAATGGATATTTTAAAAGGACCATCTTTAACTCTGCCAATAAATCATTTTTCACATTTAGCTTTTGAATTTTATATCTACTTGGACTTTGTTGCTTATTCTTGAACTTTGTGGAGTTTGTTTAGTCCCTTTTCCTTTAAATAATTAAATTTTACAAAAGTATTGCTAATTTTCATTTATTTAAAACAGTTTTCTTACATAAAAGTAATTCCAACTGATCATTAAAAACAGATTTTAAGAGGTAAAGAAAATATATCGATTGCATAAAATTTGAATGGCAAGAAATATGCTTTTAATTATTGTTATTTTATTAATGGACAAGCACTATCTTATTAAATCTAAATTGGATGTGCACTGAGGAGCACTAATGCAAACCATTCCAAAGACAAAAATTAAATACACATTGGTACATAATAAAGCCCCCATATATAACAGAGGTGGTTTACAAAAAGATCTTTCAACTTTTGAACAGATCAACATGCAAGTATTTCACCATCTGAGTTCATGGTAAGGTCCCTAGCATAAAGTATATTTCTTGAAAAGCCTGATTCTTTTTTCTGTTGGGATATATTTATGTAGATTCATTAATGTCCAGGCTACTGCTTCCAGTTTCTAACAGTTCAAAATAAGATTTGGGCTGGGAAAGCTGAAAACATCCAGCTGAAGTGTTGTAGGCTAGATATAAACAATCAAACATTGACCCCAAAGAAATGCATTTCAATGAAATTAAACTTCAGTGTACAGCAGAACACCACTTGTCTTGACTCCCCTTTCCTTCCTTCACCAGGCAGTTTTATGATCATAGCCAGGAGTCAGAGCATCTGGAGATGATTGTGCTCAGTGTCATGGACCAACTTCACCCTCTCAATCCTTCTGGTGTCTGGCAGCAACCTGGGTTTCCAGTACATGGAAAAGTCTTCTTAAATTTGATTTTGGTCCAACAACATAATAGACTGACTGGAAGCAGTTCAGGCCCACTCCAGTTGTTTCTTCTGATATACTCACAATGATAAGCTGGCTGTCTAATCCTGTCTTTCACCAAAGTACCCAGGAAAGCCACAATGCCCACACATGTGTTACAGCTTCCTTTGTTTTGAGCAGAGACAATTATTTGGGCTTTCAGTACAACCCTGCTGTTGCTTCACTCATCTGGTTTCAGAGAAAAAACAAGTGTATTTGGTTATTCTTTAATGAGGGAAGGTTATTAGAACACTGATCTGAGCACACATATGTCTACCCACAGCAGCAGTGGGTTTTTCCAAGACATATTGAAACACCAAAAAGGAATTTCCTGTATTTACTTGGAATAAACTATTTTCTGCAGCAAGTCTTAAGAATATGAACACTGTTTAGAGTGAGAAGTTGAAGGCACATAGACACAACAAAGCTTGGGTTTATTTGTTCAAAGGGAAGTTAATGACTTCCAGTTGTTCAGTGTTTCACAAGCAACTCCCTCAAACTCCTAGATGGAGCTTCAACCTTTCTGATGCTGGGGATTAGATGCCAACAGCAGGGCACTTGCTCAATCTAGTGGAAAGATCAGTTAAAATTCTTCTGTCATCCTGTTGGCCATGGGAACATGGATACTTCACTGGAAAGGAAAGTAATCCTTTTTGGCTCATGGGTGAGAGGATGGAGGGGTGTGTGGACAGATCCTGTTGGTTTGTCATGGAGATGACAGTGTGCAGTGGCGAGGACTGCTATAGCATAGAAAGGAAAGGCAGAGGGTGGCAGCTTTTCACATTTCAGCAAATCCACTGAATTATTCCTTTGGCAACATTATTCTTTGCAGTCTGGGAAGATGAGGAGACAGGTGGGCAGAAGGGAGTAGACCTTTACTATAGCAGACTTTTGCCATAGCACATTATGACACCCTTGAGAAGGCAAAACAGGCTACTGTTGCTTCTCTGGCTCCTTTGCCCCAGTGCCAAGACTGAATCATGGGCCAGGAGCTGGCAGATGACGTTATATAATGCACTGGAAAATTCCCTAACTCTGATTCATAAATTACATTTTCAAGTATATTTAAAGAATTAGTTTGTTTGGTTTTTATATCTTCTGTCTTTAGAGGTGTTTGAGAGAGAACAACTACCACATAAAATGAACCAAATTGTGATGATTTCATGCTGGAAAGCGTGCTGTGAAATCAGTGAGAAATTTCCCTGTCTTAAGACCCAGAAAAAGAGTCTGAATCCTGAAAGACTATGCCTTGAGGTGTCTTGGACTGCCCGCCTGCATTCACGGCACTGAACTGAAGCTTTTTGCAGATGGTATTATACCAGTAATTACAGTGTATAGTTCAGCTACTGAGGTTAGAACTTTGATCAAAGTTTCTAGGACTTCACATGAAAGGCTTACTGTTTATACAGAGTGAGGGTCTTTTGCCATTAGCTAAAAAAAAATCCAAAAACCTCCCAGACCTAGAGTATTCTGGTCCCATAGAACAAGCATTTTCCAACCATGCTTTTTATTTAAAGAATGTTTTTTCAGGTAAAAGTAAGCAGCTTTTCAAATTTTGTTTGTATTTCACTATATTGGGAGTGTAGTTCAGTCCAGATTTTAATATGCTCAGGAAAGAAAAATAGGGACACAAGACATAAGGTCCACATGTAAGTTAATGTACATGCATTTGAATTTCATGAATTTAGAGTGAGATGCAGAGAGCTGTACTCTCAACAAATGAATCACTATTATGCGCATTATTGAAGTCCTAGGATGGCTTTATGTTAGGATGAGGTAGCTACATAGTGAAGCGATGTAGCTAAATTTCCCTAGTACTTGTATCATTGAAACCTTCATAGAAGAGCTGGTTACACAGATTTCTGCTCCACAGAATGCCAGTGTCAGGGTACTGAAACCTCACTTTGAGTGAAGTATCCCTCTGCCAGGCTCCATGTGAGCAATGAATCAAGCACAGCCCCAGAAGCTGAGCACAGCAGAAGACCATGATCACAGGCTCTGGGCAGCTTTGGAAAGATTTGGTGCTGTGAGGGTAAAGCTAAACAAATGCAGATAACAAGAGTGTGTTGTGCAAAGAAGGATGGGAGAGAATGCTATGGACATCACTGAATAATTGCTTGAACAAAGAAAGAAGGGGGTCTGATGATTTCTTGGAACTGTAATTTACACAGGGAGGTTTATGACTAACATGGTCGTCTGAACCAGCAGCCATAGAGCATGGCTGCTTGAAAACACTCAAGGAACAGATGCAGTCCTTAAGAGAGCGCTTGAGAAACTGAGGGATTTAATTAAAGAGGCCCTGGTCCTGAAATATTATGACAATAAGCACAAAAGTAACTTGTTCATGGGTACATCTCAAGAGAATATTGGCACAATACTCTTTCAATAACACAGTTGAAGCTGGAGACAAGTGGCTAATGCCTCACAGCCACTAACAAAAACTAAATGTAAATATGCTGAAAGAATGAAGGAGACTTTGGCCTTAAGCCATGCCTGTAAAAAAAATTCCTTTATTTATGGGACACCACTGTTAGCTGAAGCTGACCATAAACCATGTACTGCTATTGCCAAGATAGGCCTGATAAATATCTCCTAGAAAGAAGAGAGATTGTTTTTTTCAGTTACAAACGTGTATTTTACAAATTCAGTAAGCCTGGGTGAGATTTGGTGGTTGCAGGCAAATTCACAATAATTTTACAGAACTTACAGACATTGATCATGGATGTGCCAAGTCTCCTTAAAAAAACCCCAAACAACCGTCTCCACTTGCAGGCAAAATGTAGATCATGACTGCCTGCATCACTAAGAAGTTTTATGTAATGGGAAAGATAATGCAAGTTTTGGTGCAAAGCTGTTAGTGCCATATTGTAGCCCCTTATTGTGCCTTGGCGGTGAGCCCTGAACAGTACATGTGGATTTTGAAGAGCCTGAAAGGAGAATACAGAATGTAATAAATAAAATGTATTAAAAAGAAGCATTTGAAAGCCGTTTTAAAAGAGACCCCAAACACTGTTGAGAAATCAACAATTATAACAAACAATTACATTGAAACAAGTTGATATTATCTAAAAATTTTGTTTATGCCAGCAATGCAGGACAATGCCCTCCAAAAGAACCCAGGAAGATGGCAAAAAAAAAAAGAAGTATGTGTAGATCTTTTAGTGATTTTTATTTATTCCATTAATAATAAATAAAGCACACTATTATTGTTATTGTTGTTGTAGTTGTTTCTCTTTCTACAATTCCTTCCCCTACTTCCTAGAAGTTTCTGCAGTCAAGTAGCCAGCCATATACTCCATATTCAACCAAACATGACATAGCAAGTACAATGTCTGATGATAGTCCACAGTGCAGTAGGTATCAATGAAAGCAGCTTGCACTGAAGTACAGGTGTAGGTTTATCACTAATCCCTTTCAGACTTTCAAGACTGATGGAAAAGTGTCGGAGAACCCAGTGATGTCTGTAAAATAAAAAACTGTAACAGTGAGACTGATCCCCCCTTAGTGCCAGTCTTGGATCTGGGGGGGAACTAGTAATGGCAAGCTGAACTATGCTCTGTTGCAGAGAGGCTCTTGCTGCACAGGGCGGGTGGTTCACTCTCAGAGCAGTGACAATCAGAGCTCCAAACTCCCTGCTTTTCAGTGGTCCCTAAATGCTTGCCATGTAGGAAATTTCTGTAGTGTTATAGACACATGTCCATACTGGTGACACAGCTGAACAATAAATACAAGCATTCTACAGAAAACCATAAGAATATAATGACAACTTTAGCTGCATCTACACAGGAGTATTTGCTGAGATGGAAAAACCATTGAAAAACTTTTCTGGTAATTTCTACATCAGGAACCATACCCAGTGAAGACAGTCCTTAAGGGATACTTTCTGAAGATGTCAATTAATTCCTGGCTAACAAACAAAGATTTTTTACCATTGCTGCTCCTAAAGTCCTGTCATTACTCAAATATTGAAATGTTTTCACATTTAAAATGAACTAGTAATCCTCACCAAAGAAAAATATTAGGTCCAATAGCAAAGGTAAGGAACACACATGTCAGCTCTTTAACCTCTTGGATATGGCAAAGGATCTTGGTTCTTTTCTTATCCTTTTTTCTTTTTTTTTTTTTTCTTTTCCTTGAAGTACAAACCTGGCATTTCAAATTTACAGAAATCAGATGAAAATTCCCTCTGAGCATCAGTGGTAACATTGCAGGCTTCATCTGAATCCTGATCCCATACGCCCTATTGTGAGTGAGAAGCGTGGAACAACTTCAGTGGTTGCATGGGGAGACTTGCAGACTCAGGGCTGGTTTGTCAGACAGCTGAGTACACCTTTCTTTCACTCAGTGGGTGTCCTGGCCTCTAACAGAGGCTATCAGAAGGTCAATATTTCAGATAAGGATGCCATCATACACAGGGGGAGTTCTTGAAAAAAGCTGCCTCTTGAATAAACAGTGGGTGAATATGTCTTCAGAGAGGGCTGGATACTCTCCTTCTCTTGCTTTATTTCTGTGAGTGTGAAGGAAAGGAAGTGTTTAAACTACAAAGTTACCTACTTGTTGTGTTATCATGAAGTTGCATAATGTTTAGACAAGATTTACTTTATACTGAAAGTTAAGCTTAGAGGATTTTTTATTTTTTTAAGTGCCTGATGCTTTGAGCCTACAGAAGATAAAACAGACTCCATCTGTTGTATTTCCTTTCCCTGAAGTTTTATTATTTCCTCTGTATTTGTCAAGCTACCTCTTCTTTAATAAAGATGTCTTTTTTTTCCTAAAGTATTTTTAGTGGTAATTCATTAAAACCTCCACAACACGGATTCATTACATGAATTGATAAACACAGAATTGTGTTTTGTGTAATGCAGCTGATCTGGTAAGAGTAATTTCTGAACTTTCTAGAAAGGAATGTAGAAAGTGGAATGTACTGTCCTTACCCTTCCTGCTGTTCTACACTCAGTTCACTTGTAGATAAAGATTTTTGACCTGAAATAAGATCAGGTGTTGCTGCCATTCATTAATGCATGGACTAACACACAAAACTGATGGCACAATGGAACAAGCTTTGTTATAATCTTACAGGTCTCACGGGTCTCATATTAATAGTTTAGGAAAATGGATTTCCGGCCATCCACAGGAAATGATGATAAAATGAAGTTTAACAGCTCTTGCACATGAGAGGTCAGCAGGAGGCTTGAGGCTTGCTTCAGCCCTGAGCTGAGTGAGAGGAACGCCACATGGCATTGCAGCAGTGTGGTGCAGGCAGTGTGCACATACTTGTGCCTCAAATGCTCCACATGAATGTCATGAAGAAATTAGAAAATATTAAAAGGAAATGCAACATTTTTTTGCGCTCACTGTGGGCCAAAGTTGGTTTTGGTGTAACTTGAAAACATTATAGAGCTTTCCTTCATCTATACTGTTAACACAAAAATTTTTTGCAAGTATTTTCTTGGGAAGAATTTATTTTCTGGCAACAGTTCCAAAGTTAAGACATATTTATTCACTAGAGTCCCATTTTGTATTCCTTGGGTAGAATCCCAAATACCCTCCACTTTCACCTCCAAGGAGTCATTAGCATTTATCAGGTAAGTAATCTGCAAAAGGCAGATTATACTCCTATAAATCCATTATAATTACACTGATTTCAAAAGTGTTACTGAAGATTTATGCTCAGGTGATTCAGCTCACAGTTGGTAAGCTTGCTAAGGAAGACTCTAAATATTTCTCAAGAGAAAACAGCCTTTACAATGTGCTATTTTTTTCTCTTCTATATGTCCTCACCTGCAATCATAATGTAGTATTTTATAAATATACAACATGAGGTAATGACAGTAACTGAGAAGGAAAGTAAATTCACACTAGAATATCAAGCTGAAGTCTTCCCATCTGCTTTTTATTAACAGAGACCACCATTTAACAAATAATTTAACAGATTTAATAAAATAAATAGTGTTATTATTTAGCATCATATTCTTATTTAATTCAGCTTGTATACTATTCCCTCTTCACCTTACCTGCGTGACAAAAACTTTTCTTCTTGCACTTTAATACCAGGAATATCAATCCAGTTGTCATCGTCACAGACCCCCCCCAAGAATAAATTCCATTAAAGAAAGGCCATTCATCAGCTATTTTCTCCTGCATAGCCAGACACTAACACACATTTCTGTGCCAATGAACAATTTTGAAGTGTCAGCTCAGCCTTCAGTGAAGCTAGGCTGAAGCCTGTGGTTTACTGTGGATACTGCTTTGGAGAGGTCCACAGGAGTCCCAGTCACAGACCCTGGAGCTCTTTGTGCTGCTGCTCTATGGACAAGTTCACATTCATTATTTCTTGACACAACATATACACTTAATGCACTGTACCAATATGAATAATCTAATTTAATGAAGATTGCAAAAAGCAATTACTCATTGATGCAGAAGTTCTAGTGATTGTAAGATCTGACGAAGTCTCAGAAGTGTCTTATATTAATTCTGTTTCAATTATAACCTCCTAAGACTACACTTGCAAAAAGGCAAAGCAGTAGTGATAATTTGTATGTTTATTTTTGAGAACTTAACTGTGACTGTTGTGGGAAGAATTGGAGACATGTAGAATACAATTGGTTATAATTCAGGTTACCTTTTCACATAATAGAGGCATGCAGAGGAGCTGTACTCCAGGGCAACAGTTCAGAGGTGCAGGAAGGCTGCAATAGCATAGAAAGCACGAACAGATGCTCTGTTGGAACTCACTGAGGATCATGCCATGAACCTCAGATTAGCAGCTTCATTTAAAGTGCCAAGTTACTTAACTGTGTAACCAAGGGAAAAAAAGAAAACCAAGTTAGGTTAAGAAAAAGCAAATGGTTGGAGAAAGAAGAAAACAGAAAGAAAAGCATATGATCAGGTTCACCAAACATTTGTGCAAACAGATGACTGCAGTGATCTGCTGTTGATTACACAGATATGCTTATTTCTTGCTTTAGTTAGTAACTTTCAGTTATGTCACAGTTTAAGGAGGAAAAAAAACCCCTCCTCTTTATTCCAACAAAGAAGGTGTGCAAAATGGGTTTCCACCTTTGACAAGACTCTCTGGTTGTACAGAGGGATACCAAGATTGTTAGCAGAGTATTGCTTGTCCCCATAATCCTGATCAGTCAGGAAAAGCAGTGTTTAAGCCTGTGTCACTGACATCTCCCAGGGGCAAATGCCACCTGGGGGAATAATGGCAGAATGTCCAGAGGGTTAGGAGAGGTGGCATCATCAATGGTCTTAAGAAAAGTACTGTTTCCCCAAGCAAACTTGTGGTGGTGCATTCCCCCATTCTCCAATCTGCACTGTGATCTGAACAATGCTGGTCAGGACTCAGCCTTGGGCTGAGCTCCTCTTGAGTTTATGAGAAACACTGCCTGATCCCAGGAACACATGCAATCTAACAAGTTCCTGCCTTTTTTTTTTTTTTTTTTTTTTTTTTTTTTTTTTTTATATATCCTTGGACGCTTTTTGTGTGAACAACCACCCAAGTGGAATAATATTTTTGTTTTGTTCTTTCAGAGAAGCTTCTGATGCAAAATGTAGCCAGGATGCAACATTGTTATAACGAAATTCCACTCTCTTATATGGCCCTATAAACTGCATGATTCCACCCTCTCCCTCCTCTTCCACCTCCACATAGATAATTTTGTGTTTAATTTTAGTGAGTTGTTTTTTTTAATTTTTTTAACCATCCAGTTAGTAGTAGTAGAGTGAATCTTGCCAACAAACTTTGTTGTGCTGTTGCTTTTATATGAAACCTGTTTTTACTGATATCTTTGCCAATGCTTCTTTCAACGATCTTAAAACACTCATTAACAACAAAACTGTAGCCCTTCCTCTCATGAGACAGCAGGTTTACAGAGACATAGAATCAGCTAAGTGGAAAACATCCTTAGAGTCATTAAATCCAGCCATTAACCCAGCACTGCCAAGCTCAGCACTAAATCACATCTATAAGACACACATCTACTGGTTCTCTAAATCCCTTTGAGGACAGTGACTCAACATCTACCCTGGGCAGTCTGTTCCAATGCTTAACAACTTTTTTGGTGAACAACCTTCTTCTAATACAAAAACTAACCCTCTCCTGGAGCAACTTGAGGCTATTCCCCTTATCCAGTCACTGGTTACTGAGGAGGAGAGAGTGACCCCCACCTGGGTACAGCTTCTTTTCAGGCAGTTGTAGAGTGGTAAGGTCCCCTCTGAGCCTCCTTTTCTACGGGTTAAACACCCCAATGACCTTCAGCTGCTGCTCATAGGACTGGTGATCCGGACCCTTCACCAGCTCCATTGCCCTTCTCTGGACATGTGCCAGCACTTCAATGATTTCCCTGTAGTGAGGACCCCAAAAATGAACACACGATTCAAGGTGTGGCCTCATCAGTGCCCAGTGCAGGGGGACAATCCCTGCCCTGCTCCTGCTGGCCACACTATTGCTGGCACAGGCCAGGATGCCATTGGCCTCCTTGGCCACCTGGGCACTGCTGGCTCCTGTTCAGCTGCTGTCACCAGCACCCCCAGGTCCTTTTCCTCTGGGCAGCTTTCCAGCCACTCTGCCCCAGCCTGTGGCACTGCCTGGGGCTGTTGTGACCCAAGGGCAGGACCCAGCTCTGGGCCTTGTTGAACCTCACAGCACGGCCTTGGCCCATGATCCAGCCTGTCCAGATCCCTCTGCAGAGCCTGCCTGCCCTCCAGCAGATCAACACTCCCACACAGCTTGGTGTTGTCTATAAGTGACCGAGGCAGCGCTCATTCCCCTCATTCATATTACTGACAAAGACAATAAACAGGACTGCCTTTGTACTAAGTCCTGGAGAATAGCACTTTCAGCTGAGGGCCATAACTGGAAGTAACTCCATTCACCACCACCCTCTGGACCCAGCCACCCATTTTTTGTCCAGAGAAGAGCACCATCCAAGTTGTGAATGGGCAGTTTCTCTGAGAGAATGTTGTGGGAAATGCTGTCAATAAAAACCTCTTTTAGGTTCTGCTCTACACTGTTGCTCTGACACCAACAGTGACACTACACCACAGGGGTGGGCTTATGTAAATGTTCTTAAATCATCCAACAGTCAACCCATAGTACACTCAGCCTCAGTACATCCAAATCAGAACATGTTTCTTTCCTTGCCCATCCCACATAATAATTTTCCATCTTGTCTTGCAAACCTAAACATAATCTCTTATTTACTGAGAAGAGAAACAAATGCTGGCTCCCAGTGCCTGTTAATGCATCCAGATGTTCTCCCGTTTGCACTGCAGGGCAATATGGCAGGAAGGCTAATTGTGACTGGTTGTGCTCCTCTTCTCACACAAACACATTTTCTCAAATTCCAGCTTGCTTCCTGCAGAAAACTCAAAGAAATAAAACCTTTATGAAAGGCTTTTCAGCTCCTTTATAGCTCATCTTTGAGACTACCCAATCTTTCTAAAAAACACTGGGTTCACTTTCCAGTCACTTCACTCTGACCTTGCAGATGTTGAGAAGTGGACCTGGGATGTCTTTGTTATCTTTGGGCTCGCTGCAAAAGCTTTTTTTTTGTGCAGGTGTCCCAGAGGACCAGCTGCAGTATGAGAAACCAGAATCTTTGGCTACCATTCTTACCTAGAAGCTCAGACAAGTGAAATTGTTATTCAAAGTTATTAACAGATATTGAATTACAGGATCATGGTCTAGATGAAAAATAAGATCCATTTCAACAGCAAAACTTATGCTCATGAACCTGCACACACCTGCACAATAACAAGACATACTTGTTTTTGGCTGACTCCAGGTCTGGTTTGGGAATGCTAATCAATCTGTGCAATGCCATAATTTTTGGATTTGCTTCACAGCACTTCCTAATTATCTACAGTCTGTTTTTCTCCAATTGGCTATAATGCACCTCTCTCTGACAAAGTGAGGCTTTGCACTGTACTGGCTATAGCCTGTGTCTGCTGTGCTGATGTTAATGTGTGACAGTAACTATTAAAACACCTCAGGAGTTTATGAAGCCACTGCCAGGGAATAAAGTAGAAATTTAACGAATATGCTGCTGCTGCTGCTGCTGCTATTAGCAATTGCTCCATTTTTTAAGCCTGTCCCCCTCCGACACACTGGGCATAAAGTACTGATGGTAAGTGCCATGAAAATACAGCTGTCTCTGCCCCACTGGGTTGCAACCAACCGGAACAAAATAGGAGAGTGGGAAAACTCATTGAAAATGCTTAGGAGTATCAAAACACAAACAGTAGGTTTTTACCATGTCTACTTGATTACTCCCTTACTTTGGAGAGTATGGTGCTGGCTTTGGACAACCCCTGACAAAACAGCACTGTGATTTCTAGAAGGGGCTCATAAGAGTGTGGGGCAGCCAAGGCCACATCGATGCAGTTTCCCAGAGGTCCAGCTTTCATCTCCAAGTCTGCAACTTTGTAGTTAAAACCCACCCTTTGCCTCCTATTGAAACCACATTGTGTCGTTCCTGGGTTATTTTGCATTCTTTTCTGAGTGCTTATTATTTTGTTTAAGTTATTCACACTTTCTGTGATAAAGTTGCACCAATGCAGTAATCATGTTAATCATGAGAGTAATCCAAGACAACAGCATTGTTCTATTTATCAGTATAAGTTTGTTCTTGCTTTTATTCCTGGTACATAACAAAGCTTTCCCTAGGAACTGAAGGCACTGGTGGGTACTTAATTTCAGTCTCTAATAATGAAATGAAGCAAATAACAACCTTTTTGAAGTTTCACCCTCTGGCAAGGCTCACAGAGTCTGGTTTTGCCTCGTTCAAAAGGTTTAATGAGACATGGGTCTTGTGTGCATGTGTTTATGGAAACAGAAAGAAAGAATAGCTGTCAACAGCTGGGAAGCATGAGACTGTGAGAAACAAAATAGGCTTTGTGGGCTTTGTGGGCTGACCTCGGGTATCCCTCACCTACCTGGGTCTCCACACGGAAAATAGGTGGTGCCAGAAGAAGGTAAATATGCGGAAAGGTTCATGTGCCTCCAAGTTTATCTGTTTTCTGTGACCAAAAAGCACTACCTCTCATAACTAACTGCCTTGTTTGTAAGTATTTTATTATTTTGATCCAGCCCTGAAAGAGTTTGTTTAGAGCAAATTGCAATCAGTTTTCAGCAATGCCTGGGGCACTGGCTCTCCTGGTCCTGAGAGACCAGACCTGTAAGTGCCTAAGGGATATACAGCTTGAAGAAGCAGTCCCTGGGAGCAGCAGGACTTCACAACAGAGGGGTTTAATTTTGGCAAAGAAATCCATGGGAAAAGAAGCTGGCAATTGGTAGAGCAAGATGTATCTGGGTTGCCCACAAAAAGACCTCTATCCCAGAGAAATTAAATGAATTCAAGACATATGAGGACTTTGGTCTTTTGATTTAGAAGTCATGCATGTGTGGAATGAATTTAAGGAGTTATTTAAAATCCTAATTAATAATGCTTTACCTCAGACTTTGCTCAGCCATCTATTCAGTTCCCTCTCTATCCCATTTCCACTTTTTGACATATTTTTCAAATTTCTGTTTCACTGCATAGTGCAATAACAGCAAGTAGTTCTAAGAGAAAAGAGGAGTGACTCTTCAGTGCCCTTACTGAGTTAACACATGCCTCCTGATACTGATATACTTCTGTTGTGTGATATTCCAGATGACCACAGACATAGCCAGTTCCTAATGCTGCCTCTGCCAATAACAAATCTGTTTTTCCTCTGGATTTGCACAGATGTCTTCCTTTTGAATATCCTAGAGAAACCTTTTTCTACCACTTCCAAGCAGACAACT